TGAAGTTGTAGGAAAATATCGATACAATGAAATATTGCGATATTTCATTATTACATTGTTTTGTTTTTTTAAATGAATATATCGTCGTGCCTATAGCATCGCAGTAAATCACAATATAACGCATCGTTGCCCCTGTATCGTGATACTTATCGCATCGCCAGATTCTGGCAAAAACATAGCCTTAGAAAATAGCTTTTTTTCAATTTTAAAATTTGACTTTTCTTCATATCAACACACCTATTTTTCCTCCATGCTAATATTCGTCACTGTTTATTTTCTGCCCGGTTTGACTTATTATTAACAAAAAAAAAAAAAATTCTCGGCCGTTCATCGTTCATATTCAGTCCATGAATCTGGTTCCCTAGCCTGGTCCGTGACCCTCAGCTTTAAACCACATTTATATTTCAGAGACGAGGGACGTAAAGAGCGACGTGAAGCCTGTCACTCTGATTAAACTGTGTCGCTCCACCGTGATTGGACAGCTGTCCGTACGGTGGTACGACTCGGTCAAAGTCGCCGACTCAGCGCCGCTCGGCTCAAACTCTCCCGTTTATCCCTAACCCAAACCCTGCTTCGGCACGCCTCCGACACCGTGGCTAATGATGGACTGAGACGGCGATTGAGGCGTAGAAAAAGTGATTAGAAAATCCTCTGTTCTGATTGGTGGTGGCGGGCCGTGCTCCGTGCAGCCGTTACAGCCTATTTCCTGCAGATATAATGTTTCTAAATAGAGCTGGAGAGGGTCATTGCTCATGGAGACAAAGTGCTACAGTATTGACCTCTTCAGGGAGTCCTGTAGTCCATATATCAAAGCCATTAAAGCATGCCTCCTCAATACCTCAGAGAGGTGCAGTAGCGGGTGATCACCACCAGCCTGATACAAGTTTACAGATGACCTTTCCACCGCTGCAGAGACGCTTTTATTCCACCTGAAAGACTCCTGCCCTTTGGCCTCGTAGTTACCCTACTTATCCTCCCTTGGTTCTTTTTTTTTTTATTTTATTTTACCACACACACACATACACACACACTGAGCTGAGACAGAAATTTGTTTCAAAATTTGAAGCCCATCTTTCCTTATAGACAGAAATGATGCATTAAAATTATAATTTTAAAATTTGAAGCCCATTTTTCCTTACAGACAGAAATGATGCATTAAAATTATAAAAAAAATTTCAATTCAGAAAAAAAAAACGCACTGACAACGCATGTAAAAATTTGTCCAAAACAAACTATTTTACCAACGTCAAATCTTTTTTATATCACTAGCCACATTTGTTTTCAATAGGGGGCGCTACAGTTGTGGTCTGCAAAAAAAAAGTCAGCAGAGATTTCACATCAGATGCCCCTCCTGCAGCAACCTAAACTGGGATTTGGGTTTGAGGGGCATTGACCCTACAACCTTCTGTTCAGTCAACTAGTGGTCAGAGGGTGAAATGCAGCACAAAAATGAACCAACACTGTGAATATTTGACTGTTAATTTTTAATTAAAAAATAAATAGTTCAGTGCCGTAGAATACCGATACAGTATCGTGAATCAAAATATCGCGATATTTCAGCGATCGATTTTTTTTTTTTTTCCTACAGCTCTAGTCACTAAAATCCTCTGGTTTGAAACCCACAGCTGGTGCATCAGTATCAGTGGTGACATATATTTTGAGCTCACCAATACAAACACACACACACACACACACACACACACACACACGTCTGTGGTTCACAGTCATCACAACGCCTTTCAGTTTGATTGACAGGAGTTATTGCGAGGAATCAAAGCCCACTATTATCTCAGCTGCCCTGTCAGAGCGGGATTGACTGGTGTCACCTTCCGTCTGCGGCGCTAAGGAGCGCGGCTACGTTACCCCGGCGGCTCCGAGCTCGCTGCAGGCGCCGACTGCTGTCTGTCTCTTCTGAGCTTCTCTGTCCTGTTTCATGTCTGTCACACGCCACGATGAAAGCACGCAACGTTACACACACCACCACCACCGCCGCCGCCGCCGAGGCCTCCGCCTTCTGCCCGAGCACATCCGTACCGTCTGGTGAAACGTTTGCGTCAAAAACAAACTTCCTGCGGCTGCACTCAAGTGTACCATGTGAAATATTTGCTTGCCCCCCCCCTCCCTCACCCCTCCCTCACCTTTTCTCCATCTTTCATCATCCTTCTATGTTGTGCTTCAGAGACCCCCCCCCCTCGCAGGCCTCACCCCCCTCCCCCCCCCCCCCCCCCCGCACCTGCCGCCGCCGCCGCCGCCGAGGCCTCCGCCTCCTGCCCGAGCGCATCCGTACCGTCTGGTGAAACGTTTGCGTCAAAAACAAACTGCCTGCGGCCACACTCAAGTGTACCATGTGAAATATTTGCTTGTCCCCCCTCCCCTCGCCCCCCCGCCCCTCCCTCACCTTTTCTCTATCTTTCATCATCCTTCTATGTTGTGCTTCAGAGACCCCCCCCCCTCGCAGGCCTCCCCCGCCTCACCCGCCCTCCGCCCCCTTATCCTCTGAGGTAGCTGCGTTTAGAGGAGTAAGCCCGTTAATTCTGGTCCGCAGCAGGGTGCCCATTAGGGGGCCTGATCCACGGGTTTGATGTCAGAACCTGCCATTTGTTTTCTAAAGCCCGAGCCGCGCTTCAAACACCAGACGCCAGAGCTTTTACAGGATGGGCTAATGTTCGCCACCAGGGCGGCGCTGAGAATGTACTGTACCTCCGAGGATGAATCGATGAAACGTGGGTTGTGTAGAAGTACTGCAGTACCACCAGCATTTACTGTGGTACTTTACTGAGTACTCTGGGCTGTAATGGAGCAGAGTTCATGTTGGAGCTGGAATTTTATAAATATGGTTTGGCAATAATTTGTATTTTAGGTTTTATTGTATTTTTTATTTGGTATTTGTTTTTTAAAAAAGGGATTTTTTAAAAAGCCGTTTGATTTTTTAAATACGTGAATAATTTACTTTTACTTCAATACTCTGTACTACTTTACTTCAATACTCTGTACTGTACATTTATTTACATCATAAAGGTTCGACATTTTATTTCGTATTCTAATCTATATTATAATTTATTTGAGTTTTAATTTATTTTATCGTACTTAAACTTTTAGTCAGAGCTGCTATTTTTTTATGTTATTATTTTTTCAAAAATCTTAAACCTTGAACGATTTTTTTTTTCGAAACGGTCGTGTTCAATAATCATGATTTTAATCAGATGATTTTTTTTTATTTCACAATGAAGCATCACAGTACTGACCGTGACAGTACTGACCGTGACAGTACTGACTCTGACAGTACTGACTCTGACTGTACTCTGTTCCCTTCACCTCGTACGAGGAGAGATAATTATTATTATCAAACCAGAGTGAAGTTTTATTTCTGCCACAAAAAAAAAAAACTCCATCTTTTTCCTGTAAAACTTTTATTCTCATGATTTTTTTATCTAACCTTTTAAGCAGGAAGTGCACGTTTGTTCATAAGTGCTTGGCTGTTTTAGTGGTGAGAAACATCTGATTTTCATCACACACACACACACACTCATGCCAGAGCGAAAGATGCAAAATTCATAAAGTCCCATCATTAATGCAGCCCCAAAAATGTCTCGCACTCCAGAACATGAGCCACACTGGGCTGCACTGTAGGAACGATGGGGAGAAGAAAAAAAAAAAAAAAAAAAAAACCCAGAATAAACCTGCCCCCCCAGATCTGGAGACACGTCTGTGTGAACGTGAACGTGAGTGTGTGTTTGCAGTCGGACTAACGAGCAGTGAGCGGTCGTACACACTGACGACGGATGTTTCTGCGCTTTAGTCTGATTCTATTTCTAATTTATGTCTAATCTATAATTCATCAGAGTGTAATGAACTCCTCACTGCTGGGTCTAAAATTAATACAAAGTGACAACATTGAGTGAAACATGCGCATCTTATTACACACACACACACACACACACACACACACACTTACCAACCCTGTAACCAATGAGCTGCTCTGATTTCCTGCTTCCTCAGTTCAACCCTTAAAACCGATGCGTTCAGGGTCTTAGAACGGCTGGGAATTTAACAACTATTAATTAGGAATTATTAATTACAGTCATTGATTACAGTCAACTACTAATCACTGACCATAACACTGGTTATTGATGGTTAAGAATCTGATACGGTATCGTGTATCAATTGTTTCTTACAACCCTATGGCTTATACACACTCCAGCCTGTAGGTGGCGGTACTGCAGCTAATGTTCATTTGCAAGAAGAAGAAGAAGATACACAGGATGTGTTCTTTGACTCTGACTCTACGACCTGTTTATATCTGTTTTATATTTTTGCAGTTTATAAGTTAAAAAAAAAATCACCTTAAAATAATGGACTGGAACCAGGAACTGGAACCAGGAACTGGAACCAGGATTTTGCAGGGCAGTTTATAAGTAAAAAAGTACCTTAAAATAATGGACTGGAACCAGGATCTGGAACCAGGAACTGGAACCAGGATCTGGAACCAGGATCTGGAACCAGGATCTGGAACCAGGAACTGGAACCAGGATCTGGAACCAGGAACTGGAACCAGGATCTGGAACCAGGAACTGTAACCAGGAACTGTTCAGAACGTTCTATTCCAAAACATATTTAGAAACTCTTTCCTTCTACACTCAGTTCCAGACACCA